CCTCTCCTTAGTTTCTCTTTAGCAGCAAGCAAGCCCAGCTTCGAAACTCGAAACATTTAGAAAGTTTTGAAACATTTCAACTCCCCTCATTTCATTTTGAGGCTGTTTTGAACCCTGTAATTTAATTTTGATTTCACCGTTTAGAGCTTGAAAAGAGTCAAAACAACGTTGAAACAAAACACCTGGGGAAATTTTGCACAGCCCTACCAGCCAACCCCTGTTGCCCTCTAAATGTGCATTTTGATGGAGTAAATTACTCCACTGTAGGATAGGACTGTTTCCAACAGTCCTATCCTATGGTAGACTTAATTTACTGTGTCCTAATACTGGGAAATGTGTAGACTATGATGCTTTATTGTGGATCTAATTGGTAAACTCTGCAGTAAAGTGCATGTGTAGATGCACCCAGTAATATTACATTTTTCCCAGGTAAAGGAATTATATTTCCTGCTAATCATCCACCAAAAAGATCTGGTCAGTTTTCTCTTTTCCTGTACAAACAGGCTCACAAAAGCTAAGCACTCTTGTTCTGTGCTTCCCTCACCCTCTGCTTTGCCATCTCCTATAGTAACCCAGCTATACCCATGTTAGTGCAGTACCTCATTCAGTCTGGAGCTAGGATTTTTAGCCCCTCTACCACCCTTACCTCCGCTTGCCAACAGGCTATCAGAAAGCAAGAGGGTAGGGAACACAACTTCTGATAGTCCACCTGGAAGGCTCTTGAAAATTGAACTAACTGCTAGGCAGAAATGAAGCTATAGAGACCCTTCCAGATAGACAGCTGCAGTGTTGTCATATACATTTACCTGATGGAAAATCAGAATTTTCCAGCAAATTATTTTTTCCTGTAGAAAGTGCCATTTTTTCGTTCATTCTAATCAGAAATTCCCAAGCAGCTCTAAACTTACAATACCAAAGTCTTCCAGAACACTTGAACACAGTAACTACTTATGCTTAAATACAGTATTCAGACATAATGCAGGGCACAGACAGAAATGCAGCTCCCCGCTGCAGCTGAGAATGCTTTGTAGCAAGCGTTCTGACTTACAACTATCACTCAGACCAATGCTGGAAGTTCGCTGTTAGTTGTAGGGGAAAGGGGAATCTAGCTGATGAGTGGGAGCCTGCAGATGGTCTCCCCTACCAACAGCCCTTCCTCCCCCCAGACTGTCCCTGTTTTCAGAACGGAAGTGGGGAGAGGTAGCAGAAGAGCTTGTCCTAGGGGTTCCCCAGCCAGTGCTTGCTGGAGGTGGGGTTGGTGAATTGGAGCCCCATCCCCACCTCAGGGGGAGCTCCAATATACCTGCCCCATCATCCAGCGAGGGCTGAAAAAAACCCAAACTGACCACTCTCTCTGTTTCCTTTCCTCCCTCCCATTCTGAAAACAGCTTGAAGCTGGGGGGCGGCACAGACATAAAACTTTATGTTTTGAAATGTCTTCATCTGACCCCTCACGCAATGAGGGTTCAGATTTCTGCCCAACTGGCCATTTTTAAGTAGTCTGCAGCCATGCACTTGTTTGGTCATGGCTATAGGCTGCTTTCTATGGCCAGACTGGGTGAAAATTGTCACTTGTCTCTGCGCCCACAGTGCCATGTAGAGATATCTTCCCTAGGCCTAAACAAGGCGTCTCCAAAAAAACCCCAACTCATTTGTGACAAAAGTGCTCAAAATTGAATTTAATGTTTTCATTGTAAAATCATAAGTGGATTTCCTTGAAGTTGTTCCAGATTAGTAGGAAGAATACTTTCAAGTGAACCCAATCTGAATTTTGAGTCTTTAAGGTCATGTGAACTTTGTTAGGTGTTGAGTATCATTGTGAATATTTGAAATGACTCTCAACATCAAACACAAGATTTTATGTTCCTTAAATGAGTAAAGCATATCTTTTCCTGCACAACCAAGTGTGATTCAGTCTAGTATAAGAGGGTAAGGTATACCCACATCTGAATCCCTTACAGACTTCTTGTGATATAAGTAATATAAAAACTCTGAGGTAAATAAGTGAAGCAATGGTAAATAGGTGAACCAAAGTTAGCTACTGAATAGAAATCCTTCCGGGGATCTTAGCATGTTACATTAGGGATATTTAAATATTAAGTTGATCTGTTTTAACCTGGGTTACTATATCTTCTTCCTTCTTTTTCCTCTTCCTTGAATGATGGAAGATGGCCTGCTATGAACTTCTCTCTACAAAGAGATTAGGATGAGTAGAGATTAGCCATTTGTTTTCTTTCTCCTCTGTTTGAATACTAAATAAAATTGCCAGGGATTTTTCCCTCCTCTATTTTTGTCCCAATCCCTGCCAAAAGTCTAGGTGGGACTGCAGGGGGAAAGTATCCATTACTCTCCCGTGTCTCTGTAGTTGTGAGGCTTCTTGAGGCCATGACCAAGAGTAACTAATGCTAACTGCTTCTTCTTTACTGCTTCTTTACTTCTTTCATGTTGACTGCTTCTTACTTTACTAGACTAATGTTAGCTGCAGCTTTCAGCTTGAAGTCCACTGCCATTCATCATTATGAATCATGTAGATTGATACTGAATGGTTCAAACAAAACTCTTACACCTTGGATGCCTCAGCTGCGAAATTTTAAATATGAGGACTGTAATCAAAACGTATTGATCTCTTCATTTTGTTCTGTTAGCCAAGGCAAAAAAGGGGGCAGGCATAGAGTGAAAGAGGAGGTGCTGGGGTTCCAGTTTCTTTCTCAAATAACCATCTCCTCTTGCCCAGCATTATCAGATGTGTTTAGATGTAGATATAGTTTACACCCATCAGAAATGATCCAGAAATTAAACTGGGTTTTCCTAATCCAATGTAAAATATATTGTAAGGATAAGCTTATACAGCTTTTTGCAAGTTGCACCATCATAATAAAATCTTGGAAATTAATGTCACCAAAGAACTCACAGAGAGTATTAATTTTCCAAATTTGGCTTGCTTGTAGCAAAAGAATGATATGAAATCCCATATAGGAAGTTCAAGAAAGGATTAGCAAGGATAAAACTCTTATGTTTATGTCGTGCTCGGCATAGTGGGTTCTTAGTCCAGAAACAGGTTGGAACGTGGCACATTTAGTTGTGCCATCATGTAAAATTGTATAGGCAAGCCTAGAATTCCTATGGTATTCATCACTGAGCTGTCTCTGTAAAAGATAACTCAAGAAAGCCTACAGATGACACTTGCCAGTGGCTAGCTTCCTCTCAGTCACTGTGGTGGGTATTTCAAACCCTGATAATTATAGATAGCCACAATCCTTACCTCATGAGAATGTTGTGAAGAATGGCTAGTTGAGATGTTTGAACTGTTCATTGCCAGGCATGCATGTGATTCTCAGCTACTGTAAATCTGTATAGTTTACCCCCGCTGAGGCTCTGGATAGGATTATCAAAATCAGCTAAGTGATTTACAAAAACATGTTTCATTGAATTTTAAGGAGACTTACGTGTGTACATTACTTAGGTACTTTTGAAATTCCTATCATTAGCCCTCATTTTTCTTTCTTTTGCTAGCAGGTCTTTGCAAATGGATCTGCATTTTCTTCAGGTGTGTTTGCTTTTGCTAACTGTTGTCCAGATACCCTAGGTGAATAATTTTCATCCTCTGCATAATTCCTGGACTGCTGCTTTTATCTGTTGGCTTTGCTTTGCATTGATCTTGTTCAAATTGATGGGCGTTTTACTACTGGTATCAATAAGGCCAGGATTTTATTCGTAGTATTTTTATGTCCTTTAACAAAAATAATTAAAACATATTAAACAAGATGATAATTAATACTGAATAGTAATTATTAATTCTGATATACATTTTGAGTTGGACAGTGGTGTATATGAAAACTGAAAATGTTTTCAGGATTTGTACTGTTTATTTAACTAGACAACAGTAATTTTTCTGAATTCAGGTGAAAATCCCTATATACGATAGAGTATATATAGACTAAAAATCTTTTATCTTCAAGTTGTTTTTCTATGTGACTCGTATGTAATTACTTTTTTGTAGTTTTCTAAATGTTTTCATAATACCTTTGTATTTAAAAAAAATCTGAATCTTTTAACATCAGTCCTTAATACAGGCCTCTGTTTATTGCCTTAAGTTACGGTTTCATTGCTATTCCTGTCCTGGACTTCTCTTAACTATGAATCACCAGAAAGGTGCTTAATCTTAATAGTCCCAAAGGAGTAAACCTCATAAGCATGTGTGAATTTTATCATGTCAGTAGCCCTAGTGATTTTACATGGTTAAAGTTTGTTCTTGTGATTAGGTGCTTTTATGAATAAGAGCCACAGTGAACTTTGAAGATGAATGAAGGCAAATGGGCTACCACACCTACTGGGCTAAGTCAAACAGTGGAAACAGGTTCAAGTTCATTAACATCAACAGAGTGTGTTTGCTTATATTGAATCTGAGTTCTAACATTTAAATTTCTGAGATCAAAGAAAGGTTGAATCCCATGTCACGGAGCCACAGGCAGAGACACTCCAAAGGACTCTCTGGCTCCCCTGGAAGTCGGGGGAATGGAAGGGTCTGGATAGTGACAGTGACACAAGGTGGACTGGGGGTCCCCAGCATAGTCGCAGGTGCCCCGGTGACTGAGGGGGATTTTCATAGAAAGGTTACGAGGGCTAGGTGGTAGTCTGAAAGGAGCGGAAGGAATTTGTCCGTTTTGTTTTCCCGTATGTAGTTGTCAAAGCATTTGATCACTTTTTCTTTCGGTGTAATAAACCCTTTTTGGTTTTCTAGTATTTGGCTGAAGTGTCTGTGGCACACTGTAATTTCTCGGCAAATGAATAACCTGGCATACCCATTTGGCAGAGTGGGGGACCAGTAAACTTACACAAACCCAGGGCATATCTCTGGAAGCATCCCAAAGTTTTGTCACGCTTATGTCTGTAAATATTATGGGTAATACATTATCTTACTCTGACATCTTTTTATAACAAAGATAGCTTCTGATTACTTTCTCCATTGTTAGTTTATTTATTTATCTATTTATTTTAAGGAAAAACTGGTCTACTTCTTGGATTGTTCTGACTGCTCAGAAAATAGAATTCTACAAGGAATCGAAACAGCCAGCATTGGTCAGTCTGGTAAGCAGCTATCCTTTAAATCCTTTTCAGAAATGTTACTGAATAAAAAGTTTAGCACCATATAAAAAAAACCAAAGAAAAAGAGCTTGAAAACTTCCAGAGATCTGCCAGCAACTGTAACAAAATGACTCAATAAACTTTTAATCAGATAGAGGGTGGGGGCAGAAATAGAACTTAGCACGTCTTTTATTAAGAGGTGCATTTTGAGAATAATTGCAAAGTGAGACAAATGGTGAGCAACTACCCAGTAATGTGAAGGTAACACTTTAAATTAAGGTGCCACTTACAAATGCTTTATTCTTATTTATGAAAATGATCACTAACCACAGCTACTTCCTCAAATAATGTATTATAAAGTATGTTATAAAATGCATTAGTAATAAATACTTAACAGATGATGCGATGAGAATCTGTTGCAAGTGATATTATAAGACGTAAATTGTACTAAACCATGTATGTGCATCTTTAATACATGAATTTAAGTTGTTATCCAGTATGCTATAAAGTGGCTTATACATTAATAAATTATAATAAACTATTTATAAATGGAACCTTAATATAGGGTGTTACCAAAGAGGAAAACACTGTAAGTTAGCAAAGTGATTTTTTATCTTAGTATAAATGTGACACCTACCATATCCAGCTAACCTTCCTGAATATTTCTATGACTCCATCTAATGCAGCTAATGCAATTTCTGTAGCCTGTAGTTACTACAAAGTGAAATTTACAGTACCTTTTTATTGTGCCCCAAGGAGAGGCCACTGATCTTAGTCTTCAGAGATGTGACAGTTATGTTGCACAAGCAATAATGGCATGTATCCCTTCAGTGCTAGTTACTGTGGAGTTCAAAGCTACAAACCTTGGTATGGGTTCCAAAAAGAGAACTCAGTAAATATATGACACTGTGGACAGAAAAGGGACAGGTTTGACAGAGCCCTTTTGTGAAGGGCTCCCAAGGCTTGATCAAACCTGCCATACCTTATTGAAGTGATGGGTGACTAGAAAGGAGTCACACACAATAAACTAATTTATAGATGGCAGGTGATGAAATTTTATGCTCTTAAGCCACCAATATTGTTTGCATTATGGTCTTCTTTAACTTAACCCCTTCTCCTTCCTCCTTTTGCCTCACATGCAAAGTGATGTTTGTTAAAAATAAATAAAAGGTAATGCTGGCTCTATGAAAATTTTGATAGCTTTTTATACTGAAATGGCTGGAGGAGGGTATATTTCAAAAGCTGTACAAGCGAATTACTCATAAATTAATGTTTTTTTGAAATTCTCATTATTCATGCTAGCATCATGCTAGCTGATTTTCATGCTAGAAAATGATTTTGCCTTTACTGTCTGCATTAAGGTAATTTAGTAAAAAGTATTCTATTAGCATGTATTCATGACTTAGTAGTCACAGACTTGTACCTGTCCTTGTTGCATGGTCATAATCACACGTGGCATTAATAGATATCCTTGTTAGTAGTCTCAACATAGTGGCCAAGAACTAAATGAGCACCCTTTTCCCCCTTAAGTGCCTTTGTCCAAGTCAGAGTTGTTATCTGTACCAGTTAGAGGATGCTAGCCTTTTTCCAAGCAACACATTTTTAACAATAATTTTGAATAGAAGAAGAGCACTTAACATGAAACCAAAGGCACATAAACTTATCATTGGTAATTATCCCAGGATTGTTGCAATCAGACAGGAAATTTGATTGAACACGTTAGTGCTGAAACAGAACATCTGATCTTGTGAGAGCCTGAACAGCCATGGTTCCCATTCATTGAAATTTGCACGGTATGGGCCACAGTGGGAACTGAGGATGCTCTGCTGTTCTTAGGCACTTACTAAGGACATGCTGGGTGCATCTACATGTGCAATTAATTTGAAGCAATGAAATCTGGAGCAGTTTCTACATGTGCACCCTTGAGCCAGGGTGGAGCAATTTACATCAGGGCTGCTCAGTCCCAGGCTTCTGGTGGTAGCATCAGGTGACAGAGGGATTGGCTGGAACATGAGGATGCTGAAAGTGTTCAGCCATGTGTCTAGGCAACAGGCGGGAGTCTGGCCGCTTGCTGGGTGGGATGACTGGGTGCAATTTATACCCACCATCAATGTGTACATGTATGTTTAACTGCAGTTAATTAGCCCACCATAAGATAGTACTGTCCCTGACAGTGCCATCTTAGGGTGATGTTAATTAGTTTACTTTGGCCTAACAGCATTACATGTGTAGATGGTGACATTTTACTCTGCAGCTAATTAATCTACTACAGTTACGTGCACATGTAGGCATGGCCACCTTGTAAATTCCTGAACTAAGTCAGTGATTCTCAGCTAGGGTGCCACTGGACTCTGGATTGCCTTGAGATCCTTTTAAAGTGCCAAGAAATGTTAGCACTGTTAGGTACATCCCCCAAACCTAAGCTAAGAACAGCACTTGCAGGAACAGCACAGGCAGCCCAAAGTAATTAACTACTTGGGAAAAGGGGAGCTGGCAGATCTGAAGAGTAAGCTCGGTAACTTCATGGGGGCAAGGAAAGGGGAGCTTTGCTTGGTCAGAAGTAGTCAGGTGGCTAAGAATAGCCCAGTCAGTGTTAGGGGGCACGGGGTTAGAAATAACACAGCCCCAGGTTGTGGCAAGTGGCTACACTTTCCTTGTCCTGGAGCTGTGCTGTGAACACATTTGTTAAGCCAGGTTAAACCATTTCATATCAGGATAACTCTCTGAGGTGAATTATATTTAGGTTGGGCATGCACATTTTAGAGCATAGGTTGCTCTGTAATTGCCTGCATTTTCTACCATTTAGATCAACTTAATTTTGGCTAGGTTGATCTAAGGGTGCAGGCAGAAGTGCAGCTCCCTGCTGTAACTGAGAATACTTTGCAGGAAGCATTCTGAGTTACAGCAATCTCCCGGAACAAACAGAAGTTCTTTGTTGGTTGCAGTGGGGAGGGGAATCCAGCTGCATTGGCCCTCCTTTCTCCCAACCTGTCCCTGTTTCAGAGCGGGGAGAGAGAGCAGAGGAAGCTCATTCTAGGGGTTCCCCGGTTAGCTCTAGAGGGTGGGGCAGGGGTATTGGAGCCCCTTCAATATCTCCGCTCCATCCTCTAGCAGGGGCTGAAAACCCCACAAACCGAACTCCCTCCTCTCCCTTTCCCCACCTCCCATTCCAAAAACAGCTCAAGGCTGGGAGGCAGTGCAGACAGAAGTTACAGAAGGTGCTATGTTCTGAAATGTTATCATCTGACCTCTCATACAATGAGGGGTCAGATTTTCACCTGATCAGCCATTTTTGAAGCTGTCTGCATTTATGTCTGGCCATGGCTGTAAGCTGCTTTCTGTGGCCAGTTTGGGTGAAAATTGTCTCTTCCATCTGTGCCCTAAATATAATGCTTGAATAAAGGCTGCCCTTGCCACTTGTGGCATGTTTGCTGCAGGTTAGCCACTCCTGCTCTACAGCTTAGTGGCTAAGGTACTCAACTGGAATGTGGGAGACCAGCATTCATATTCCCTTTCTGTCTTTTTGAACTGGACCTGATACAAGACAGAGTAAACCTGGAATCACTGTAATTTGCCCTGAAATGAAGGGCCAAACTATCAGCTGGGAAGCATTAGAGTGCATTGGGTTCCTTTAATTTCACCTCCCTCATCCAAAATTCTACTCACTTTCCACAGTGTTCTCCTTGTACGATTTGCCAGATGAGTAAGGGATGTCTGTGCTGCCACAGTGGCAAGCCGTGGCAAAATGCTGCCAAGAGACAGCCCTTGCCCACTTTCTCCTAGGCCATGTGTAGATGAAACGGGAGGCATGTGTGCACGATACTTTAAAGCATGATAAATGCTTTTGTACCACTTTAATGGTGTCATGTTTGCATGCCTCAGCAGCGTATTGAGCATTAATTCCAGCTGCTGTAGGAAATTCAGTGGTGTAATGCACCTTAAATGACTTGAGGTGCGACAAATTAAAACTCAAGGAGTTTCAGTTTGCTGCCCCTACATCTGCGGAGTAAAGCACCGGGCTCTGTGCAGCTCCACGGCTCTGCAGGAAGCCCTGCATGCAGCCTGGCAGCAGCCTGGGAAAGCAGGCTTCAACCAAGAAAAGCGACAAGCGTGATCTTCCTCCCTGCCACAGAGCCTGCCTCCCTGAGCTGCACGGGGGCCCAGTGCTTCCCTCCGTGGGTACAGTGTACCCCAGAACTGCCCGAGCTGGATAGCTGGATGCCTGTGTGTGGGTGCCACCTGGAGGAGGGAGGGGGGCACCACTGCCACAGAGGGAAGCACCAGCCCCTCGCCCCCCCGCCACTTCCCGCAGCCAGGGACTGCTCTGCCCTCCCCTCCCCACAGCCAGAGGCAAGTAAGTGAGCAGGCTGTGTGCACAACACGGGGGGGTTAATAAGCCCTAAATTGAAACAGAGTTTTTTAAAACCCACTGCTTCAATTTAAGGTCCCCATTTCATCTACACATGCCAATCACTACCTTCTTAAGCCTGAAGAATAGGCAGTTTAGCTGATTAAGTATGGCCCTGAATGTGTGCCAAGGGACATGTTTGAGGGAGAGCCTTAGACCATCTCTCCTTGTGTACTGAGCTAAACCAACTATGCTGCCTAGTCTTGGTGCTTTGGCATGTGCTGCATCAGTGAGTGGGCAGAGGATGCTTCTGAGTAGTGCTCTTGGGTTTGCCACAGAGTCAATGTGCCCTAAGTATCTGGATTAAAGCTTTATATTAAGCCAGAATTCTTCACACTGCAAGAGTTTTCATCAGCTCCTTCAGGGCTGGTTTAATGAGTGGCAGAAGGGGACTTTGGTAGAGAACAGGAATCTGGCTCAAAGCTAAATATGTTTAGTGAAAAATAAATACGTTATGAGACACAACCTCATACTAAGCCACTACCTTTTCTGAAAGCTCGCTTCTCCAGCAGTGCTTGTAATAAATGAGGTAATAATCACTGCTTCATAGCTTTATCTTTCTTCTTTAAAAAAAAACAAACAGGGTGATCTTAACACAGCAAACAATACGTGCATATACCTAAAGTGAGTTACCATGTACAGTAAGCTTTGTCTTCCTGCCCTCATCCTCCCCCTTTATTTTTGCCACATCCTCCAGTTTGATGTCTTCAAGCTCATGATGAAAAGGCTGAGCATTTTAGCATAGGTTTCTTCTGATGTGACCCTGATCCCATGGACCTCACCCAACTGAAAATATTCTCGTCCTGGCAGCACATTTTATGTGCTGGGTTTCTGACTACGGCAGCTACCTAAAACAATATTTTTACTACTGCTACTATTGTTCCTACTATGAGCCTGAAAGTTCAATAATGAAGCACTGTGAATGCTAACCTGAGCATGTTTTATTGCTATTTTTTGTCATGATATCAAATATTGTAAGCAAAAGTCAGGCAAATAATAGATGGATATCACTGCTAATAATGTCATAAAGAATTCAGAGAAGTTTCTGCTCAAACTAAATAAAATTCAGGCAAACTAATTCCATCTGATGAAGCTAGTTCAATGTTTGTTTGTTTTTTACAAACCACTTGTCCTGCTATAATCTTGATAGCTGAAAAGGAATAATATAAAAGACTTCATTAAAAATCATTTGTTTACTGACTTTTTCAAATATTGTTTACTTCAGAAAAGAGAGAACTCAACCATTAATTAAATAATGCAATAAAGTCAATGTTCATTCATTGTAGTATGAATTTAATAACATAGCAATTTTATTTATAGCAAGAAAATGATGTGATTTAACAAAAAGATTAATATAGCTTTAGATTATAAAGCCATTCATTCCTTATTAATTATTAATCATTAAGTACTGTATATAAAGTGAAAATTTAAAATACGGATGCATCATTATAAAAGGAACCATACCTCATGGTAAAGCCATTCAGGCAACATTGGGAGAATAATGAAAGTATGAACTCATAATCTCTCTTTTTATTAAATAAGCAGCACTTATTGGTGATTTTAAATTATATTTACCATAATTTTAATAATATTTTGATTCACAGACTGATGCTATCTACAGCCCAGTATTGTACCCCATCATTCCTTGTTTCCAATGGAATCCCTCCTGCAACTGTAGGAGTAAGACCCATTAGCACATTGGCTGCCCATACATGTGCATGTTGGCATTCTAATTAGAATGTGTTGGAATATACTCAATTAATCAAATCTGCTCCATGTTCTAATTAGAATACTGCAGCATCACCAGATCCTCGTGTGCAGTAAGCCACCACACTTTTAAAATGGCTGTGGGTGCTTTAACTAAACCTTGTCAAATGAGGTCTAGATAAATCACCCCACAGCCATTTTTAAATGCACAGGGGCTTAATACACATGACGGTAAGGCATTTTAATTAGAGCAGGTGCCTGAGGACCACTTGAATTAAAATGCACCCCTCACCCTCCACCGAGCATGTGTATAAGCAGCCATTGGTAGCAAAATTCCTGTTGACTTCTATGAGAGATGGTCTGGGTCCACTGCTTTTCTATCAAGGTTAATTCTACCATATGGCCTTGTTATTCATAATAATTAAAGAAAGTGGTGGTGTAAGCCACAGAGAGATGGAGAGGCTAAAAGATAAGCATTGTGTTTGTTTAAACACATCAATGACAATATGAAGGGAATACTACAGCTTCACTGCATATAATAAATATGATATATTTATCTCCTGGTCACATATACGTATTTCATACAACTTTAGCATTTACAAAACTGTTTATCTCTTAATTTTAAATGGATATCATGATCTAACTAGATCATTGCTCCATTGTTAGTTCTTCTCTGACTGCCCTCAGGATTATTTTTTCAAAGATTTGTACTTTTGATTTAAAAAAAAAAAAAAGACTAGGCCTTTTTTTGTCAAGACAGTTTATTGCACAGAGGATATTTTAACCTCAGGTTTTTAGTCCCTCTGCAAAGTAATTTACCAGGAGAAAACGCCTCTGAAATCCATATGCATGCAGAGACAGATTTCATTGTAACAGACACTTGTATCAATTTACAGCACAACCCCCACCAACAACACTGGTATAACATAATTGGTCTGACTGAAGAACACAAAGCAAGGACATGGGCTCTCACATTAAACTAAACTCATTCTGTAATGGCACTTATTACTTATGCCTACATATTTTGGAAGCAGGTTGCATATAATATAGCATATAAGACGGCAACATGGCCAAACTGAACCTTGGATTTATATTGATTTAAATAAGGACTACCCTGTGCCCACTCTCCAAAGAACTCCTTGATATCTAATCACAGTGGGAACTCTGATGTGGGAAGAATTTTCTGCTTGAATCTTCATTCCTTTGCTTTTGTGGATTTCAATAGGATGTTTCACCTATACCAGTACTTGTTTGGGTTATGAAGTTTAGCAACAGTAACCACCACACTTATGCATATTGTATCCCCCAGTTGAGGCAAAAGCACTACCTTTCCCAAATTCAAATTACTTCTACTGTATTTCTAATGAGGATGAATTAATATCATTTATATTAAGCAGAAATGTAATCATCTTCCTAATATCGCTTCCTAATCTGCGTCCCTTCTCCATATATCTGAGAAGGAAACAGAAGCATATAGCAACTATTTCTCACTGCCTTTTACATACCTGAAGGAGAAAATAATACTATATTCCAACATGATAAAGAATGCTTATACAGGCACTCCTCACTTAACGACCTACCTGTTTAACGACCAAAACAGTCCACCTGTTTAACGGCCAGTCCACTAAAATCAGAAATCCTAAGGGCTCTGCAGTTGGGCACTGTGACCTGGTGCCAATGCTGCAGAGTACCTTATCTCTGTTTGGGTACACTGTTCACATTATGGAACAGTGTGGTACATGTCTTCAATTTCCCAGACTGTGTCTGCTGGCTTCAGACACAGTGGGCTTTGAAGGAAACTGTCACAAACAGGCTTTTTCAAACCAGTTAAGCTTTGCCATTCCCCATAACCATTGTGTTAATGCATATCTATTTTACCTACAAGCCAGTTCCCCAAATCAAACCTCTAAGTACCATTTTGTAGCCATCAATATGTAGGTATGCATTTACCTATTTTAGGGGGTGCAAACCTTTTGCTGAATTCTTGTGGGTGGAGTTCTAGGAGGGTAACCCACAGAGATTCCTACTTCAAAGATCCAGTATTCATATTTTTTTAAGGTATGCAGGAGGGAAGTTTGTAACTCTAACATTTTCTCTGAAAATTTTGCTCATTATAAGACCTCTGCCAATCAGAATTTCTATCTGAAGAATTCAAAATGTTTTACATTATAAATTAATTATGCCTAACAGCATCCTTGCAAAGTATTGGTATTGCCATTTTGCAAGGGACAGGGAAATTGAGACATAGTAAGGTTAAGATTTCTGCCCAAAAGAAAAGAGGAAGCCTGTGGCTGAGGCGGGGAAAGAACCCTAATCTCTTCCATTTCTTTCACCACAGAACATTCTTCTCTTTTGAATAACTCATGATCATCTATTTCTCCCTTTGAAAAAAAGGGGACAACAACCTACTGGTCTGTCAGTTCCAGGGGTGCTGAACCACAGTGGTTTTGTGGTTTGGCAAATGTAGAGCAAGATAGTATCTTTAGAGCTGAAAACTGTTTGAGTTTCTGACTGCAAACTACTTAAATAGAATTTCTTATGGTGGTTCTCTTAACTCAAATGGATCCCCATTTAACCACCTTAGAGTGTCTCCTGGGTATATGTGGTTTTCATCCACTAGTAGAAATTTGGTGGGAACTAGTAGTGTGTCCAATACTGAAATTGATATTAGAGTAATCACAGAATACTACAATTTAGTTTCCTTTACCAGCAATGTCCACTCTTGCTGGTTGAAAACAAAGGGAGATTTAAAAGAAGGGAAAAGGGGGAAAATATATCAAGATGACCCTTTGAATTCCACAGGTATGAGCAATGACCAAAGCAACAGGGAATTCAATGTCACCAAGGGTTGGTTTTTGTTTTTGTTTTTCATTATTTTCTGGGATGCTTAACAACCTGATCCATAAAAGCTAGTCCATATTTCAAAGCACTTGCTGCTACTAGTGAAGAGAACATTATCTTGTCTAAAGGAATTCTGCTTTAGTTAGCATAGCTAAATCATTTCCTGAAACAACAAACTTCACTGCAAACAGACTTCGAGGGAGATTGCCATATCATTTAGAAGTATAAGTTTTTCACACCTCCAAACATATCCATGACAGCAGAACTTTACATTATAGACTTCCTTCAAGGTGTCAAGCTCCACTTGCTATGTGCTTGATATCCTGGAACCTATTGACTTTTGTGGGATTCAAGATCCTGGTACTTGATAAGATTTAGATCTTGACAACTGGCACAGATAAAGAAGATAAAAGATAAGATTTTTTTTTAAGGGCAGAGATACACATTCATTTCTTTCCAGCTATACCAAGCAATTTAGCAATCAATTGATTAACTTATGTGTTAATCAACACAATGTTACCTTGTTTTGCTGTAATTTTTTAGGTTTCATTGGAAAAAATAAACAGTGCACATCATCCATACCATTTTTTTTCATTTTCCTTGTTTATCAGTTTGTTAATTGTCCAATGAATTATTTAAAATATGCAGGCTAAATCATGATTAAAAGTGATTTATATTCACTGGATGAGGGTGGGGGTATCAATGGTTCAGTAGAATATTTTACCCATTGAACTTTATCCACTCTCATTCTATCAGACAACCTTCCTCATTTCTGTATGTCCAGTTCATGTTCATATTTAATTTGTCTTTGCAGAAACCTGGCTATAAACCCGAATGTGTGGATTTGTGTGGAGCTTGCATTGAATGGACCACAGAGAAATCTAGCAGGAAGAATGTGTTTCAGGTAAGAATCACCTTATTTGTTCCATTCTATTAGGGCTAAAACTAGGTTTTAGTTCCTTGTTTTAGCGACCAAAAATGATCTAATTCAGCACTTTACTATTTTTCCTAAGCTAAAGAGTCCCGATGATTGAATCTATTAAAACACTTGAGAACCTGTTGATTTATTGATTAATGTTCTACATACAATTTGTTTTTAAAACTTAGTAGGTAATTATTTTGGTCCGAAGTCTAGAATCCTTGACCTAAAGAATCTCCATAAACAGAACTTTCTCAGACTGCTTACAAAAGCTCTGCTCCCACTAAGTGTGGTTACTCTGTTTATTTTTATTTCTGTTCAGGGCTGCAGTGACCCAGGTTCATTCCTGAGCAGGGAGTATAAGGAGGCTAAGAACTCTGTATTCTTCAGGGCCTATAGAGAAGGTTATATATTTCATATGCCTGTCCTTCTGTATGATAGAAAACAAACTATGCTGTTTCATTTTATCATCTGCAAGCACTTGTATTGAAAAGTAAACTTAAGGCCTTTACGGAAGATAAAAAGGGAGAGAACGGTATTATTCCAAGGATTTAGAGGCTTAAAAAAAGGCTACTGCAATACTCAGTTCCACAACCCTTGAAATCAGGGGAAATGTTTTTGTTCATTTCAATGAAAGTTGAATCCGCCTCCAAAGGAATATTATTTGTACCTATGATTTGAGATTTTAGACAGGGCTTTGGTGTCATCAATATAGTAACAGAGAATGTTCCTTTGTTGCACTGCACGTTAGTGTAAAATCAAGCCTTATAGCAGGGTTGGGCAATTATTTGGGCCCAAGGGCCACATAGGGAGTTTTGATGAGCTGTCATGGGCCAGGTCAGCACCCGCTCTCCTCTCCCCCGCTCCCCACTGTGACAACCCACCAAGCTCCCTATGGGGTTTGGGTGGGCAGGGAGCAGTGTTTGGGACAGGGACAATGGTGATCCACTCCCTGCATGCCCCAAAATGGGATATATGAAGGTATATGGGGAGACATGCCCCAAGGTGGATCCCATTGGAGGCGAGGGGAACAGAGCTGCAGCCACACTGGGAGCAGCCCCACCAGAAGCTGCACACTGGCCAGAGCCAGGGCTACGGCCAGGGCCAGGGCTGGGCAAGAGTGTGGCACAGGCTGCCCTGGATGGGGCACAGCTCCATGCAGTGCCACATGGGCAGCTATGGACTGGGCAAGCTCTGCTGCATGTGCTCCCTGCAGGTAACTGTTCATCACACCAGGTGGGCAGAGCAGGTGGCTGGGAGCTGGAGTCAGAGCCCTACGTGCTGGGGAAGGAGCCATTCAACTGAAGGTCCCCCACTCAGAGTGGTGCAGCAGGAGCAGGAGGAGGAGCCACCAGTGGAGGCGAAAGGAGCAGAACAGTCCCACCAGTCCAGGCCCTGGCCAGCACGTGCAGCTTCTGGCAGAGCTGTTCCCTGTGCATCTCCTCTCCCGCTGA